TATGTGCCCCACCCATCAACTCTGCTAGCCTATAGTTGAAAGAGTGCTTACTTGCAAGCCCCAACGAACAAAAACCATGAAATCAACTCTGCTAGCCTATAGTTGAAAGACTGCTTACTTGCAAGCCCCAACAAACAAAAACCATGAATCTGAATATCTGATTGTGTTACTGCTTCAATAAAAATGATCTGGGAAATTGTTCGAGGGTTGCTGGGCTGAAATTACGCAATGTCATGACAGGATTGAAGCAGCCAATATATAAGCAAATTGTAAGATTTTTGTGGCGGAGATGGATTATAAGTTGATAACCAAACATTAAGTTTTTTGTTTTAAATATAGAAAGAAATAATAAACATCAAGTTTAAAAGTGTAATCGTCGAGTAGTAGAAGAGAAGAGAGTTGAGTAGAGTACCTCCAGAAAAAAGCTAGTGATTGTGCCTAGCTGCCAAATGAAAGCTGCCGCCACACCGCCGACCAGCCAAGTCCGGCCACTAAACCACCCAGCCCGAACACCCTAACGCCAAGCCCAGGCACTAAACCACCCGAACACCATGACCTCGACCACCCAGCCCGAACACCCTAACTCCAAGCCCAGCCACTAAACCACCCGAACACCATGACCTAGACCACCACCACCTCGTAGCTCAAGTACCCAACCCAAACAGCTCCAACACAGAACCACCACAGCAGCAGTCGTGAAACAGCCTCTGTTGATGCTTTGACAGACACCCATCGTGTAGAATTATAATGATCGATCCTTAAACCCAAAAACATAAATATGTTTTAGTCCCTATAGTTTATAATTTCAAAAACAAGTGCTTAAAGACCAAAAGCACAAGTATAGTTTAGTCCCTGTATCCTATAGTATCACAAACAAGTGCATAAATAGACACCGATCGAGTAGATTCCTTAAACCAAAACGCATAAGTATATTTTAGTCCCCAAATTTTATAGTTTCATAAACAAGCTCTTAAATAGACGAAAAAGTAAAAATAAAATAAAAAACTAATATTCTTATTTCCAATTTTCCTTTCCGACCTTTAATAAATTACATAAATAAATTATAAGGACAGCATACATGAAGGAAATGTACATTGGCCAAAAACAGGATTGAGGGGCTTGAATGTTGCAAGGGATAAGCAAGATCAATTAGGAGGTAATTTTTCAATTTTGAGTGAGGGATTTATTTTTCCACATGAATTAGAATAATGTGCAATGTATAATCTTAAAATTGTTAGAAAAAAGATTTAGTTTTGATTTATGCATAGTTTAGTTATATGATATTTTTAATTGTTAAATCAAAAAAATTGAAAATTGTTATAAATAAACAGTATTTAATTTAATATTTTTTATCCACTTAGTGTCACCTTTTCATAAATTATTAACGATTTAAAGCAAGAGATTTTGTTTTTTAATATATTACTAGTCGCTTGCTCTTGCGTTGCGTTGCATTGGATGGACAATTAATTATTTATATAAAAATAAATTTGTTGAAATATTGAGATTTCATTTTTTTTTCTTGTCCAATATTAATTTTCATTTTGCATTAATTTTAACTTTAAAAATCATGAAAAAATAATTCGATTCTGATAATTGTAAAAACCTTTTTTTTTTTGTTATAATCATATTGAAGGGTAAATTATAATAAGTTCATTGAAGTACCATAAATCTATTAAAAAAATTATAAAAGTTTGAAGATTTGACAACCTTCCTTTTATACCAAAGATGTCATGAATTACTAATTAGAAAAGAATGTTAAATTATAAAAAAATTAAAAATTACACAGAATATTAAAAAAGAAACTTAGAACAAAATGGACGTGCTAAAAAATTACCACCCCATATTTTATATAATTATTTCTCCAATTTCATAGTATTTATTTTAGAAAACCTTTTTTTAATCGTAATTAAAGGCATTTTAGATACAAATCAGTTTCCTTTTGTAAAATTTTCTTCAACATTGAAGGGTTTTTTTTTCATTTTTCAAATTATAAGAATCTTAAATTGTCTATGTAATCTTCAAAATACCTTTAGAATATATTGAGATTAAACATCAATACTTGGATATAATTATTTGTTTTTTAGCATAACAAGGGAAAAAAAGTGATGTTAAAATAGATAATCATTTGATAGATGCCCCGTGTGTTATTGCCGGCTAATTCACAAACAATATAAATTATTATGGTAATGAAAGTGAAAGTTAGATTTATATATACTATGCTAGACCCAAATGAATTTAAAATTAATAATCATGTTAAATTTACATAAAATTTATTAAATAATAATTATATAAAAAACAATCAAAGCTGCACTTATTAAAAATTATATAAAAAAATTAATATTATAAAATTAATTTATATAAAATTAAAAAAAATATGAATAATACCTGCTTTTTAAAAACAAAACACATTTAATATCATTTAAAAATAAACACAATCTAATTAAAATATAAATCTTGGATCAAACATGTATTTCAGACACAAGCATTTTATGACCCAAGTATAATTAAGTTTGACATGGTTGCTGGAGCCAATAAGCCTAAGTTTGGCTACATTGTTTAATCTAAAATTTAAATGAGTCTGACAACATCTTATATTTAAGTTTAATTGGGTCAGACATGAATAACAGACTTAAGTTATTGTTATTATTATTATTATTACTATTATTATTATTTTAATTGTTGTTGTTGTTGTTGTTACAACTTGAGTTTGACATCTATGCTTGACCCTACTAAACTTTAATAACACACATTGCCAGACCCAACTAAACTTGGGTTAGATATGATTGTCAGACTTAACTGTTAGAAATATTTTAGGATGAAAACAAATAAATAGTTGGTTTAATGGCATGAAAATATTATTTTTAAAGTGGTTATTTATTTCATACATAGACAACTTCTCGAAAATACAATTAAACCCTGCAAACATCTAAAAAAACAAGAAAATAAGACAAAGAAAAAAAATATTTTTTTATTGTGTGTAGTTTTCTGTATAGTAACATGTTATAAGCTTAAAAACATAATAATGAAACATTATGTTTTTTAATATTATAATTATAAATAAAATTATATGATTGTTAATGAAATAATTATACTTTAAATTAGACTAAATAGTTGTTATTTAATTTTATTTCAACAGTTATAAATATCAAAATTAATTATAAAAATTAAAAAAATTAATTCAAAAATAAATTAATCTCACTAACATATGAAGTTTCAAGTGCCCATATGTCTAATATCATATTTTGATATTATAAATATTCATATAATAGCATTAGGATGCATATTAGGAGAGTCCTTTCACCATAATTTTTATTTAATTTTACTACACAATAGAAACATATACTTATAAATACCTAGGAGGAAGTGTTTCTTTTCAATTTAAGATAAATATTTATTTATTCTTTATTCATTTACAAACTACATCATCATTGACTTTGACATCGTGCTTGACCCAAGTTTAGTTGGGTCTAGCATGTTATTATTAGTATGATTATTATTCTTGTTGTTGTTATTATTATTACTATAATTGTTGTTATTTTTATTATTATTGGTATAATTATTATTGTTATTTATTATTATTGTTGTTGTTGTTGTTGTTGTTCTCATTATTTTTATTATTGTTATTGTTGCTTTGTTGTTGTTGTTGTTCATGATTATCATTGATATTATTATTATTATTAGTCATAATTATTAAACCTGACCTAGAGGTTGACCTGGTTAAGAGCTGAGTCACAAGTTTCATGGGTCAACCTGAAAAAATTAAAAAATATTTAAGACTTTAATATTTTATATAAAAAAATTCATGTAAATATAGGCTATACATTATAAACAATAAAATTTAAAAACATTATTCCATATTAAAAAGATACTATGTTAAGCTTTTAAGTTGAAGTATTTAAATCAAAAATATTTTTATCCCACATTGAAAAATAACTTTTTTTTCTTTGGAACATAGAATATATATATTAATAGGTTTCAAATCTCACATTAAAAATATACTATGTTATCATTTTAAGTTGAAATATTTAAACCAAAAAGTTTTTTATTTCACGTTGAAAAAATATAACTTTTTTCTTGAAAACATAGAGTATATATATTAATGGTTTTAAATCCCACATTGAAAAAATATTTTTTTTTATTGAGAACATAGAGTATATATACTAATAGGTTTTAAATCCTACATTGAAAAAACATAACTTTTTTCATAGGAACATAAAGTATATATATAAAAGGCTTTCAAATCCTGCATTGAAAATATATTATGCTATCCTTTTAAATTGAAATATTTGAATCAAAATTTTTTTTATCTCACATTGAAAAACATAATTATTTTCTTGGAAACATATATACATGCACACACACACACACTAATGGGTTTCAAATATAATTTTTTTATGGAGAACATAGAATATTTATACTAATAGGTTTTAAATCTCATATTAAAAAAATATAATTTTTTTTCATGGGAATATAAAGTATATATATAAAAGGCTTTTAAATTCTGCATTGAAAAGATATTATGTTATCCTTTTAAGTTGAAATATTTGAATCAAAAAGTTTTTTACCCCACATTAAAAAAACATAACTATTTTTTTGGAAACATAAAGTGTGTGTGTGTGTATTAATGGGTTTTAAATCTCACATTAAAAAAAATATATTTTTTTCATGGCAACGTAGAATATATATACGAAAGGACTTCAAATCTCACATTGAAAATATATTATGTTATCATTTTAAGTTGAAGTATTTAAACCAAAAGATTTTTTATCTTATATTGAAAAAACATAATTTTTTTTTTGAAAACATGGAGTATATATGCCGATGGATTTCAAATCCCATATTAAAAAAAAAAAACTAAGTCTCGACTAGGTTTATTCGGGTCATGGGTTTACTTGCCGGGTCAACCACGTTTTTTCAGGTTGTTGCCTAGCCAATCTTTTATTAAATCTAGACCGGTCTAACCACTAGGTCGACTAGGTTCCAAGTCAACTCACCAAGGTTTAATATCTAGGCTTTTATTATTATTATTGTTATTGTTTTAATATCATTATTATTAGTTTTATTAGTATAATAATTATTATTCTTATTATTAGCATGATGATTATTATTATTCTTATTATTTTTAGTGTTATTTGTAGTATTATTATTCTTACTATTAGTATAATTATTATAATTATTGTTATTATTGTTGTTGTTGTTGTTAATATAATTATTATTTCTACTATTGTTGTCGTTATTTTTGTTTTTGTTTTTGTTTTTATTATTAGTATAATTATTATTATAATGATGGTGATTCTCATTCTTATTATTAGTGTTAGTATTAGTTCTATTACTATTATTTCTATTATTCTTATTCTTATTGTTGTTTTTATGATTATTGAAATAAACTTTGGTCAAACATGGATTGCATACATAATCATCTTGGATCTAAAATGTTGCCAAACCTAACTAGATTTTGGGTCAAACATGGTTGCCAAACATAGGATGCTTGGGTTTGACAATT